TTTTGACAGCTATAAAAGTATATTTAAAACAAACGATTTACACACATATTTTTAGTCATTTTGCCAAAATCATGAGGAAATTAATATTATATAACTACTCCATTAAAACGTTTATTGTACGTTTAAAAGCGAATATTCTTCCACAATACTAACGATTAATATTTGTGTAATCGATTAATCTCGCTTTGTTATAAAATTGAGAAGATGTGATGTGAGGTGATATGCGGTATGATACATATCATACGATATGATGTCGCTATTGACAGCATGTGATGTGATTGTTTGTACAGTCGATGTGATATCACACCAAAGCTTTTTTAAAACTATTAAATATGCGAAATTATGGAATAATATATTTTTAATTTTTAAGAGATATTTGCAATATATGAATCAGAGGTAAAGCATGCGATATGCATTAAATAATGTTCATGTGATCTGGTGAAATTGTGATATTTTTTCGAACGAGATGTTTTGAAACAATGTTGTTAATCGTTAAATGGACAACATAAACTTGCTTTAGTTAAATAGTTTGTTAGCAAAAGTGCATATAACAATGTATACATTCATAAAAGTTGATAGTTGTATGAAGAGTTAACTCCAACAGACACTTATTACACAATTTATCAATTACTTACTCATTTAAACGTTTGGAAAGCGCTTCCGCAATTGTACGCAGCACTTTCGAGTCTACTTCAGCACCGCCGTGCTCCAATAGAAATGATGTCATATTCTGGATCACGCTGATCTCTTCATCTACATCAGGATGCGAGCCGGCAGCAGCTGCTGCATTTACCATTTCAGCATCGGCACGTTCCTTTGAGGAATTCACACGCATATTATCACTCATGTTTACTGCTCTTAAACTGTTTACTTATAACACAAATATAATACTGATAAGTTTTTAAAATTGCTTGAGAAAATTGTTAAAAGAAACACAAACAAATATTTTAACACAGGTAAAATAAGCGCCAATTGAAATTCAACTGATTTTATGTAAGCGAAATATGCAGATTGTGGATGACAAAAAGGCGAATAAACAGTCGTGCTGCCACATTTTTTAAATATTGCTAAAGTTGGTCAGTGAGTTATAAAGTGCGACTTGTAATAATGCTGAAATTTTTATTAAACAAAATTAATATAACGAAAATTAATAAGAAATCACACCTGTCTATAACAATATGCTGTTTATAATTTTCAATTTGTCAAAAGTTAGTTATTATTAACAGAGAACGTATATCATATATATAATTCTCATATATATATGATATATGTTCATCACTATGTACATACGTTATATGAAATATATAAGCTTTATTAAAGTTTGCACTCAGTAAATTAACTTTTTAGAAATAATTTTGCATACAAAGCGTCAGATATCACTTATTCTGTTCATGGAAATGCTTTTTGACCTACGTAGTACATAATAAAAATCAGCAATGCTCTTCTTGTATACAAATTTAATAGCTTTATTTATTAAAAATAATTTCATAAGAATACATGTAGTATGATTGCTTTAAAATAATGGAATATTTTAATGCAATATGCGTTAGCAGTGATAAAATACTTTATTCCGTATTAATCGCATGCGATTTGTGCGTTTGCGGAATAATCCAAATAATCTACTATGTTTCACATGCAGACATAAAATGGTTTATAGCTTTAGTAGTTTCAGTTAATTATAATAGACTAAGCTTAACAGAATTTACAATTATTCAATTAAATATTTTTGGTTTACTAAATACGAGTACATGTACTTGTACGAAACACACATACATACACATATGTGCTTACTTATAGTTATTGTAACATTATATTACAAAAAGTTTTTTTTTAACTATAAAGAACTTTTTTGTTGTAAATCGTAGGCAAATTTTTCACTAATCTATGCTGGCATCATATTTCGGTTTCTGAGATAAATATAGTACTAATATAGTGCTCAGTGCACTAACCAGGAATATAACATCAAACCAACGATGATAGAAATTAAAATGCAGACTTCCTAGAACTTCAGTAATTATAACACGATATTCGGCAGGCAAGTTCATACGCATCAGTAGAACTGAGGAGCAGAAGTACATGCCCATTATTTGCGCCATTATTAACACAATAATGTTTGATGATTTACTAGACGAAATTCTGTAGAAAAACTGTTAAGAGAAGAGCAAAAAATATACTTTTAGCAAATAAAAAAAAATATATATATATAATATGTATATTAAAAATGCCTAAATAACCTTCGTCAATGTCAACAGCAAACCACGTATGGACGTCACGACAATACAGCCAACAAGTAAAAAGGATATATGTTGATTCCAGAAAGCAAGATCTATATCGAAGCCACACCAATGCACGGCAATCTCTAGGCCGCGTGTTACAGGATCTTTACGACCCACACGGTCAAATATAATATTAACCGTGCACTAGGTAAATAAGTAATGGTAATTATTAAAATTAATATGTTAAATGTATTTACAGCTTTACTCACAATAAAAATCTTATACAGGCAGTATATGCTGAAAAAGTGTCCCAAAACATTAAAATATCTACCCTGCAACGTTTGCGACCACCTTTGGCGTTCTTGCATATTTTTCATAGAATTGATTTCCATGAAAAGCTGACGCATCAGTTCCTCTAAACCGTAAATCTCTAAACGCAGTTGGCCAATATCTATAGAAATCGATTATATAAATAATAAAAGAAATTGCCAAGTTTTTCAAACCAAATAATTCAAACCTTGACCACTGCTATCCAAACGATTAACTGCCGAACTTAATATATTCCATAAACCTTTCTTGTTTTGGGTTTCTTTCTTGCGCCTATGCATTTCAAGCGCAATGCGCTTCTTTTTCGCTACAATCATATCGACTGTTAGCTGTAAGCGCCGTTCCAAATTTATAATGTCACTTTGCGAGACAGGTCTGTAAATAAAAAAGTATAATGAAAGAATATGTAAACTAATAGAAAACATCCACAACTTACTTTATAAAATAAGTCATGCTTTGGTATGGGCAGTTAACCGCACCAAAACCAGACAGTACAGCCATCACGGTTACACCAATTACGCCAATACGCGATACACCTTGTTCGATGGTGAAAATTCCATGTGAAACGCTCAGCAGTGGGAATGGATCACCAATTTTCCAGAGCCCATATAGAAATACGAACCAACAGAGTACGGTCAATATACGCACCGCTTTGTCAGATACTGAAGTAGTATGCAAAGCAAAATGATTACAGTAATTCTAGTATATAACCGCAGAAACTTACCAAAAGATAAACTATGTATCACGGAATATAAAATGTATAGTGGTATAACAGCTATTACCATGAGTAGTAACAGCGTTAAACCCAGACGCCAGTGGAAATAACGTGAACTCGATTCAAGCACGCCCAAAATCTCGAATATTATCAACTCAAACATCGTGAGCGAGAGTGCAAAGCACACCGAAAATATGAGTTGTACGGAAATGTGTCGTATTTCATAGTTCTTAAATAGTTGTTTCATAAAAAATAGCCAGCCTCCAGTAAAGAACAGGATCTGTAAGTAAAATTGTGTACATTTTAAATAAAATGTATATAATAAATAAAAAACGTAATTGCTTGCCCACCTGCGATACGAACACGATTATACAGTCTTCAAAAAATGCCATACCGCTGTGGTATTTGTGAATGCTTTAATATTTAAAATCTTATTACACTTTTCGTCTATTTAGTACCATTTTTTATTATACGAAATATACATTAAAATAGGAAATTGCAGATTTTTTTTAATAAACGTAAAAGCCGGAAAGAGCCAACAAATCACAAATGGCAAAAAATCAGATGTAAACAAATGTTGCCTGACAGCTGTGTGAATTTAAGTGACCAGTTGCTCAAAATGCATAAAAATTGTTAATGAAAAAATTGCGATTGTCTCAGTTGTAGCTTTTTAAATATATATATTCAAACTTTAATTTAAATAGATTAATAAACTTTTTATTCTTACATTTGCATTTTCAAATAAATATGTATAAGCTACTGAAAACGATTTCGTATAAGTTACAGTATTATTAATTTTGTTTTAATAATAGCAAAGTAGAGAACGTATATCATAATAATATACGTTCTCTGATCAAAGCTAACAGTTTGGAAGCTATTGCAATTTATACGCCCCCCTATTGAACAGCTGCTTGCTCATACGTTCCAAGACATCGAAATTTGTCTGTCTGGTTTTTCTCACTCATCATAATAAAAAAAGAAAGTATAATTTAATTAACTCGTCTCGTTTAGGTGTTCAAGTATAAATTGCTATTGTAAGTGTTAACAAATTTTAAGTGTTTACCAAATTGTAAAATTGAAAAAAAAGATGACTAATTAAGTGTACACGTTACGTAGCATGGTACTGCAGGTTTCCGCATACAAAAACTTAAGAGTTAATTAAGTAAATTTGGTTAAGCAAAAATATTAAAGATGTCCTGTTACTTCCGACAAAACGCCGATACACACGTAACTATACCAAAATATATAGAATCGTCCACTGGCGTTGTGTATTATGATATCAAAGTGCGCGTACATCAAGTGGAGTGGCTGGTAGAACGACGTTATCGTGACTTTGCGCAGCTGCATGATAAACTAGTTGATGAAATCGCAATCTCAAAGAAATTACTACCACCAAAAAAGGTAAATGTAGGCATTAAAAATCCATGTTAAACCAAATAAGTTGAAGATTTCGTTCCAGCTGGTCGGCAACAAAAACCCTGCATTTCTAGAGCAACGACGTGAACAGTTGGAGAAATATTTGCAGGAATTGCTTGTATTCTTTCGCATACAATTACCACGCGTATTGGCGGAATTCCTGGATTTTAATAAATACGACATAGTCTACCTGCTGCAGGACTTGGCAAAATTATTTAATGAATCTGGAAGCACGCTTTTAAGCTCGAAAAAAGCGTTTAACTTCTCTGCACTAGAGGTATTTTGAATGACCTTGTGCTAAAACTTGTTGCTTTATATGTGTATTTGTATTTAAGTTTATGTTATATTTTTGCATAACAGGTTTATGCGATAAGTGAGCGCTTGTGTCTGCCCTGCCCACCGGAGAATATCGAACAACGCGGTAAATTTGATTTTTCGCATGTGCTTGACTTTTGTACACAGCTGGAGGTGCTCATTGTGACGCCCGTTAAGGTAAACAATCTTATTTTTAATATACTTAGAACATTACCATATAATAAAATGGTATACTACGCCACCAGGATAATACTTCCTTCAACAACGACTACAATACGGTGGATGTGCCTATCGAACGTAGTAATATTATACCCAAGAACCTTCGTTTCACTCTCAATGCATTCCGTAACGTTAAGGTACTCAAATTCCATGGCCTGTCCACGGAGAACATTGTCGATATTGCGTTACTAAAGCCAACTATGCAAACTATTTTCGTACATAGCACAACGATGACACACATTAATCAAATACTTATGTGTGACAACATACACAGAGATACATTTGCGGCTATAACAACAACAACAGCGTCAGATGCTATCTCTTACACCTCAAATAGTTCAGCGGCTGCACAATCATTGTCGAACAGCAGCTGCTGCACTGATGCGCCCATTTCAGTTAACCTACCATACATGAAAACAGATTGGTCTAATCTCGCCGATCTCGATTTGACGGGCAATCTACTAACACAAATTGACGCCAGTGTACGTACGGCGCCGAAACTACGTACACTAATATTAGATCAGAATCGTATACGTGCCGTACAAAACCTAGCTGAACTGTCACAATTGCAGACGCTGTCGCTGTCGGTAAATCTAATAGCCGAGTGCATTGATTGGCATTTAGAATTAGGAAATTTAGTTACGTTGAATTTGGCGCAGAATCGTTTAAAAAAGTTAAGTGGTCTGCGTAAATTACTTTCATTGATAAATTTGGATTTAAGTTGTAATCTAATTGATGATCTCGAGGAAGTGGATTGTGTAGCACGCCTGCCGATATTAGAGACATTACGTTTGACCGGTAATCCATTAGCTGGCAGTGTTGGTGAGTCTGCTTAGCACACATACATGCATAAATCAATAACAAAAATGAAAAAGAAACAACGAAATAATTATAATTTTTCTCCACTAGATTACCGTCCACGCGTATTGTCACGCTTTCACGAGCGTGCCGCTGAAATCTCACTCGACAGCGAACGTGGCACACAAAAGGAGCTCGACACAGCGCTTGTGCTGTCGGCGTTGTACATATCGAAAATGCGTCAATTGAGTAATAGTACTAGCCAGCGTTAGTGTGCGCGTTACAGGTATGATGCCAAATACGTGAAAAAAGCCAAACTGCATAGAGTACCTCAAAGTAGACTACGCTTATGACGAACAGCAAGTAGCAAAATTAACAAAAGAAAAAAAAAACTAGCAATATTATATAATATGTTTATGTTGGCCAATGTGTCACAACGTTTGCTCAAAACTTGTATACGAATGTTTTTAAAACAATTCTGTGCCCACCACGTTGCATATATATTCCCTATATCTATTATTTGTTGCTATTTACGCGTGTGCAATAACTTATTTCTAGCCAACAGACGTACTCGTATTTACAAACAACTTGGTTTGAAAAAAAAAAAGTATTAAATTATTTTTTAAACAAATTTATTCAAATTTTAAAGAACAAATTTTGTTCACATTGAATTGGCGCCTACGTTAGTTAGCCACGTTAGCAAATCCAACGTAGTGTGGTCATTCGTGCGCTTGCGCTTTACAATATCTCGTTAGATGCTTTCAAATAAATGTGCTACAAGTTTAGTTATATATATATGCACATGCATACATGATTAAATTCTGCTTAAAATTTTTATGATATATACTTTTTGAGGAATTTTGAGGCAATTTAATTTGGTATATATGTATGTATGTTATTGTTGTAGTTTATATTTCTTAATTGTAGATATATACTATATGTATAATATTTTTATGTATTTCTATATATGTATGCAATCACTGTTTTACTTTTATTGGACTACACATTTATGCGTATATATTTGTTTTCCACAATTATTCTCGTCCGTACATAAATATATCGTGTACTTTGTATATATGTATATTATTATACTTATGTTGTATTTATTTAGCATTGAACAATTTTTTGCTTATTTAAAAATAAAATATGCACTTTTGCTAAACAATAACCGACGAAGTTTCAAGCAAAATACAAATCTGAATTAATTTAAAAGTGTACCACAAACTAGGTGATGGATTGTAAATATTATATATTTGTATGTATACATATGTTACATATATAAATCAACTTTAGTATAAAAAAAAAAACCAAAAGCATTTACGAGACCATTGCAAGTTTTAGGGATATTCACTATGTAGGTAACGGTATAAATGTTGCGCATATTGCTTTTACGACTTTACTTTATACTTTATAGCAGTTTAAGAAAATATTATTTTTTACATATATTTAAGTGTAAATAGCACATTGCTAGTAGCAGCAATATTTTTTTATTTTGATTTTGGTAAATAACTATCGCTAAATATTTTATTTTTTTTTTTTTTTAAGTTAGAGGTTTTCACGAAGCTCAAGCTTGTTTATTTTATTTACACAGAGTTTCAAACAATGCATAAAAAAAATAATAAAATAAATTTTTTTTGTTTGAATTCGAATCCCAAAATCGGTATTAAATATTGAAAGTCTAATTTTTAATCAAACATTTTTTAACTAAAAAATTCACAACCCTGCATATGCATAAAAAAAATTATAAAGTATAAAGATTTATAATCCTTTCATGTCGCATAATTGTTTAACAGCGCCTAGTTTCAGTAGAAAAACGTACACGAAAATTTAAAGTTCTAAACAATCATTAACTGTCGGCTAAAGTGCCGGTTAATTATACAACAGCGCTACCAGAGCTTTCTATTAAAGTTTCTATGAGGCCAAATTGACACTTGTGTACGGTGTGTATGTGTTAATTTTCGCGCTAATTGGAATTTCGATAGTCGTGACTTGCTGGCTATTTTTTAAATGTAAACAAACAATAAAAACAGCTGTTATAGACAGCACGCAAATAGCTTCGTGAATAGCTCCAAAATTATTTTGATAAAATCGATATTTATAGCTGAAGATGAGACAAATTTAATTTCGATTATTAATTCATTTTAACTACAATCTAAAAAATATTGCAAAAGAAAAATGTGCAACATTTGTAGTGTAACTGCAAAATGTAATACATATTATTACGTACCACATTTTGCAACAAACTCTTATACAAGTATAGTGTTGATGCTTGAAATATGTATGCATCATCTGAATATCCCTAACAAACTTACTGTTGTTTTTAGTAATCAATTCGTCACTTTGCGCTACTCAATAGCTTTGCCACGGCAACGTGTAGTCACGTTGGCGCTGTTTCATTCGTTTTCATTGCTGTTGGTTATGCTGATGCTGCTGTTGTTGTTGTTGTTGCATCATTTGATGATAGTGCTGTTGCTCAGCAGCTGCCACTGCATCAAACATAGGCGTGTGCACTTCACCCAGAAATTGTGGCGTTGCTGGCGGATTGGGATCGGCCAACTCACCAATTAACGGCATATCAATGTCGGATGTATTGAGCGCATGCTGTTGCTCTGGCTGCCCAAAACCGATGTGATATTGTGCCGCCTGTACATCGCCACTATCAACCAAATGGCTGCCATATGCCGTTGCGGCTTGTTGATCTACAACGTCTGTGTTATCGAGTGTCGCCGGTGCTTGTTGCTGCGGCTGCGGCTCCTGTTGCTGCTGCACATTGTTGCCATCCAATAAAGGTGTGGCCTCCATTTCACCAAATTGTATTGGTTGCACGGTATCGGTATCCATGGCTGTTTGAGGTGCTTGCAATTCGGTTGGCTCTACTACTGCGGTAACGTCAGCTTCAGTCGCAGTGTTGCTGGCTTGTTCGCCAACTTGTTCATCACCTTCGGCACCCGATTCACCATCGCGTCGCACCAAACCCAACATATCTAACATATTGCGTTTGACGGTGTTCTCTTGGGCAGCCTCCACTGAGGCGTATGCCGATTTTTGACCACATGTGGCCA